CCTCAGACAGTCCTATACAAACCAATTGACTCTGTGGGGATGAGAGGCTTGGGCTCTATAGTGGGATGAGCACGCTCCACACTTTTCACACGCATGTCAAGTGACTGCCCTCACTGCCCCCCCCCCCCCCAGATTGGCTACACTCTCCCCTGGCTCACGAATTCCCCGATTCTCGTGACAGTATAGTAGCGGGCAGCAGTCACACTTACATACATTTCTGTTCAAAAAATGCGGCGTGCCCACCCTACTTGTATAGCACCGAACCTGGCGAGGTTGGAGCCGGGATTCGACCACCGTAGCGGATCAACATAATGTGCGTGTAGGCTTGAGCGCTCACGCACTTAACCTCCTATTACCGACAGTTCATAAATATTTAGGCGAAGGCGTGGCGATAGGCGGCTGCAGGCACACGGCCCGTTTAGTATAGATCCTTTCTAAATTGACCGAGCTATTAGTCTTTGGATTAGCGGAACTATGTACAAGAATAGGAACGCTATCTAATTTGTTGGTTACCAATTTCTTCCAGGAAGACACTTCGCATTGCAAAGTGCCGCCAGCGATGGAGAGTGGTATGAGGTGCGTGGCGCACTCTAAACGAGAATGATCGGCGCCAGTCTTGGATTGCCTCTCACACGCGCAATACCTGTTTTACTTAACAACTACTCTCAACACAACTCAATGCAGTAAGGCATTTATGAATACGACGAGAGCGCTGGTAAAGTGGCTTTGTTTTCTTTTGCAACTGGGTGGTGACGAGAAAGAACCAATCGATGGTCTCTATCTCTTTCTCTCGCCATTTTGATCGTTCGATGGCACGACCGCGATCGGTGGGAGTCGTCGGCTTCTATCGGCGATGCTCAATCGGCACTTTTTTCTTGTTCTCAGCCCTAAGATTGCAACGGCCATTGTCATTCGAGACCGATTTCGTTCGCTAATTGCATTGCTGCCCTCAGAGGCCGGCGGTTTGCCAAAATTTTCCCGCTTCTCCATTGTGGAACCGAGAGGATGTTGCAGAGATCAGGAGGTGGTTGTCAACTCCTCACCAAGTAAAGCCCCGGCTATGCGATTTCAAAATTTTCATAGCGCTCCCCCTGGAACGTGTCCTCAATACGACCCCTCTAACGGTTGACATTATCGTTGAATCTGCCATCACACGACACACCTCAACTCCTCGCCCCCTCTCTCCCGCAAGATTTTTCCAAAATTGTCGTCACCGAGGGGAGGGAGGCAAACGACTTCTACAGCCCCTAAAAAGTATAATTCTACGGAACTGCTTCATTTCGGCATCTTGTTTTCACCGCCACGACCGGGTGTTGTAGGTCGAGGACAAAACGCAATTTTTCCACTTTTCGTAGCACTACGATTTTTTGTGCTGTAGGGAGCCCTCATAGAGTCCACTCATACTCCAGTGTAGACCTGGGGTTCCCGCCCCCTTGTTTTTTTTTTTTGCCCGACAAAAAACTTCTTGCTGTGAAAGCGAGAAAGCCGCCGTTCTACGCCTTAGCGACTTCACACCCCTATGCCTTCGCCCCTTACATATTCAAAATCACTAATATACTACCGCCCGACTCCGTTGGGCAAGTCGCCACAATAGTTAGAGCCTGTTTCCTTACCGTCCATGAAGACGGGGAGGTGACCACCATCTGCTTAATATTACTGCTCAGGCAGGACCCTACGATTCTTAAGCCTGCCCCATCCACTCATAATACAAATTTTCTAGCTAATGATAAGATTCCACGGCGATTCTTTGTTTCCAGGTGCTACTCCCATCCGCCTTACTTACTCCCATACCTTACTTTACCCGCAAATAATCGATGCTCCTCGAACGAGGCAGGGTATAATATAATATGAACATGGTATAGTCAAAACCCGAAATTGCTGTGAATTTCCCGAAATTTCTTGATGCTTCGTCTAAATTGCTGAAAATATCTATGAAGTCATCAAAAAGTCCCCACACCCTGACTGATACTTTCCTTCCTTTGAAAAATCTGCCCGTTCTCAATACGACCCCCCCCCTCTCCCCGCTTACCGTGAAATTGTCGACGTTGGGTCCATTTGCATGAATGCCGATGTTAGCGTTTAGGGAGTGCGACGACTTTCAATTTTAGTGACTCCTACGACATCCCCATTTTCAACCGTGATGCTTGTATGCCCTCATTGTGCCACGGTAACTTACCCTGCCGCTATCACTTCACCCTTGCGTCCCCTGATTAGGCGCTGGCACTAATCATAAATCCATACATGGGTCGAACCATCAGGTGGGTGAAACAGTGGCACATCCTCCATGAGCTTACTTGATCTACGAACATTTTGCACGAAATACAGCTCTATTTCACCACATTCGATCAGTTCTTCTATTGTTTGGAAGGTTCGTGCACCTACACGCGAGGTTTGTGCAGCTGGGGGCGTGGCCAAACCTTTTTTGGTCTTGTTGGAGCGCTCAGAATTCGCGGTAGTCGAGCCTGTCATTTTGCGCGCTGTTTAGTTCAACAATAGTAGCACCGTTCTATAAGCTCTCGAAATTCTTCTTCGGTAAGGAAAATATAGGCTGAGAATATTTTTATTAAATTTCTTCTGAACGAACAATTTTCTGAGAGACTCTTTGCACCCCGTCCTACCTGATTTTGATGATGAGCCTGTATATTCCTCGCTCTGAACTGTATTTTATCTGCTGTCTCGGGAGTTTCATCAGGAGCTTAATATTGAATTACAGAAAGAGGTACTGAAAGTTGACTATGAAGCCTTCAAAAGCTCGAAATAAGCTTGAAAAATGCCGGGCAAAAGTGCTGCTCATAGAAACTAGCAGGAGCTCCCCTAGGAATCTTTCGGACCTGTTTCAATTGCATCACATTCTTTTGGGATGGAATTCTTACCTCTTCATATAATTAAACCTTTACCACTTTCACTTATGCGTATTTGCAAGCCCTTTGCCGTTTCTTGTCTGAACAATGACCACCATTGACCACCCATTCCATTAGTAATCGAATCCGAGAAATGAATCATCGCATTTCTACGAATGATCAATGGATGAAACGATTTTGTTTTGCACGACACCTGCTTGTCTGAACATTCCCAACTTGACGTCAGTTATTGCGTCACGTGTGTATTGCGGGTAGCGTAACACAATTCACGCGTTTTTTGCAGCTCTTTTTTTCGCAACGTACCTAAAAATTGCAAGGAGTGCTGGTTTACCTTAAAATTAGATGGGTTCTGATGATTTTCATGAGACTTCCAATGGACCAGTTGCGTATGTGTTTGTATTTTACACAAAAAGTCTTATTGACCCATGCGCTCGATTGTGT